CCTATTGGGTGGCTGGGCCTGTCCCACGGCGTTCCCAAGGCAGTGAGTCTTTACGAGAGCAGGCAGCCTCATCTTTCTCCCTCAGAGTGACAGGTGGCTTCAAACTGTTGACCTTGAGGTTAGCAGCCCAATGCATTACCCTCCACACCACGAGGACACTGAGTTTTGTTTTGCTTGGTTTTTTCCTGAAAAGGAAACAGCAGGTCAAATGAGCTTGAGAAATTCTGGAGGAACCTCCTGCCTGCCCCTTCCTCTTTGTGCCAGTTGCTGGTAACCCTTCACACGCCGGGGCTTAGAGGGGTCTCACTCTCAGCCTGTCTTCACCTGGGTAGTTGTCTGCAGTGCCTCTACCCCCGCCCCCGCCCCCACCTTTGAAAGGGCATCGCTTATACAGGAATTGGACCCCTCCTACTCCAGGAGGATCTGCCAAACGTAACTGATAACACCTTCAAAGCTCTATTTTTAAACAAGCATGCTCACAGGCACGGGGGGCTAGGGCTTCAATGGGTCATTTCTGGTGGACACCATTCCATCCATTGCCTGCCCTGACATCCATCCAGGTGGGATGAACAGGAGGTGGGTCTGGGCCTTGGCTTCTCTGCTCTGTGAAGGGTAGCCACAACTGATGCACCGCAAAGGATCAGGGGGCTCGGCCTCTACAGAGGCCAATTAATGCCTGCACTGCGGCTCTGCCCCCAGCTTCCTTAATCCCTAAAGCTCTGGCTGGGGCCCTAGGCTGCCTTCTTCCTGTCTTGGTCCAGAATGTAATTGGCCGAAGCCAAGGAGGAAGGCTCTCTCTCCTTGGTGTAGGCAGATGCTCCACAGAGCTGCTGGAGCTGGCTGTGCCAGCTACTTGTGACCAATATCAAGGTGCTGGGGTCCCTAGATCAAAAGGGCTCTGCTGCAGAGTGGGAGGGAGTGGGGACGGGCTGACCATTATTGGCAGAACGATCTGAGCCCTTCTGGGAACTGCCTTCCCACCAGGGACATGTCGTGTTGGGGGCAGTAGTGGTGGGTGCTGTGAGCAGAGGGCAGCCCCAGGGCCTCTGACTTCTGGGCAGCACCCTAGAGGTACACTGCTCCTGCAATTCCCTCTCCCCCTGGGCGAGGTGGCACCAAGATCACAGAACTTGCCTACAGAGTGGCTGGGGAGGGCCACAGGGTGTGCCCCCCACCGCGAGGGGCAAGTGCCTCGTTGGTGTTCCCCACGACTGCCAGCTCTCTCCTCCCTCTTCCCTCCCTCCTCGTTCTTCCCTTGCTTCTGCTCTCACAAGACCCCAACTGCCCTGGTGGCGTAGTAGTGGTTCCACGTGGTGGTTATGCATTGGGCTATGATTCGAAAGGTCAGCAGTTTGAAACCACCAGCTGCTCCGAGGGAGCTAGACGGGTCTTTCGACTCCCTTAACAGAGTAAAGAGTTGCCGTCTCGGAGATCCACAGGGACAGTTCTACCCTGTCCTCCAAGGTTACTCTGAGTCAGCACGGCCTCCATGCCAGGCCCCACTCCAACTGGGCCACCATGCCTCTGTCTGCTTACAAACCTGGACCCCTTCTGCTCTGCCCCCTTTCCCGTGGCCCTCTTTAGCCACTGGCAGGGTGAGACGTTCGAGGGGAGTGGTCCCAACTCAAAGAACACTTGGTTCCAGAGGGCCCGTCTGGTGCAGCCTGCCCTCGGGCAGCATGGTCGAGACTGCTGAGGAGCCACCCCACAGGGTGAATGAAGCCATTTGGATGTCTTCATTCTGCGGGCTTTTCAAATCACCGTTCTATGACCTGTACCCCAGAAAGTCAGAAAAGGGCACGACACCTGTACAGCGAGATGAATCGTTACAGAATGACGGTTTCCACGTAACCGCCAACTGAGACGAGGGGGAAGAAAAACACAGAGCAGACCCAGCACCCTAAAACACCACTCCGGCCCTCCATCAATCACGTCCCTGCCCCTCCCCGAAGTGCACACTCTCCTGTCTTAGGATAGCATGGGCTCATTTTTACCTTTGGGAGCATCCCAAGAATGCTGTCAAGGTGGCTTGTGCTCTTTGCCGTCAGCAGGGTGTGTCACCAACAGTCATTAGCTTAGGAGCTTGGTGAAGCAGGTCCAGGTGGGGTATTGAAGGCAAGCAATGCAAGGCGCACAGGAGCCACCAGCCTCAAGTTCAAGCGATGTGCACACCAGCAGCATGGTGAAGCAGGTCTGGAGGCTCTAGCTACAGGATCCACGGGTTGACTTGGCCCATAGGTAGTGTAGCTGACAGGCTGAGGCAGAGAACTAGCTGAAGCAGCAGCACGCGCCAATCACCAGAAAGCAAGGGGGGTGGGGTGCAGAGGGGCAGGCCTTGCAGAGCCATTTATCTCTTTGCGTTTCAATCAAACTGCAACTTGATTAATCCCACGTTTCTATTGGCCAGGTTGGCACAATAAACCTAACTACCATAAGACCTACAGGGAGGATATTCCGAGAAACAAGAGCTTCACATGCTACTATTTTTGCCTAATGAAGTTTTCTATGACTTTTAACAATACTCTTTTTTCAACAGTTATTGGCACATAATTCAGATACCATACAGTGCAATGGTTCAATCACATCAAGAAGAGTTGTACCATCAGCACCACAGTTTTAGGACCTTTTCTTCATGGTTGTACTCATCGTTATTAGCTCCCCACTTCCTACCAATCTCCCCTGCCACACCCCTAAAGAATCATGAATCCAATTACTGTAGATTTATTTATCCTGGATTTCTTATACCAAAAAATGTTAAAAGGGAAAAAAGGAACTCTAACAAGATTAACAAAGTAAAACAGCTAAAAATCTCAGTTGAAAAGAAAGTCAAAAATACTAGCACTAGAATAAATGTGAATGGCTAACAAGAGAGACCAAATGATGGGGTGCTAAAGTTTAACCTACCTGCATCTTCAACAATCCACTTTACAAGGCTTGCTGCACATTAACAAAGCCATTCACATCCCTGGTCCATGGTCAGAGGGGATGCACCAGGGGCTTAATCCACATGTATTTTCCCTTGACTATTTTTTTAAAAACTGAAACACCTTTGAAATGGTCACAAGGGAGATCAAATGGTAAGATATTACCTTTTGACCTAACCAAGTCTGCCTTCATAGACTTCAGCCAGAGGAGGGCCTGCTGAAGATGGAGCTGTCCTCTGGGGACAGTCCGCGCACGGCCGTCTGTGCACAGACCCTGGAGATTCCGAACGGAGAATCCCGTCCACTGGCCCAGCCCTACAGCTTGCCTGGCTCATCTCCCCCGGGGGCAGTGGGAGAGGGTGGAGCACGGACTCTAGGTTTGTTCTTGCTGGTGGCCTCTCACCCACCTGGGAACCTCGTAGCTTCCTCTCCTGGGGACACAGGGCCCGGATCAGCTTTGGGTGTCCTTGTTGAAAGACTGGGATCTGTATCTCTGTCCTCCCCGAAGGGACGGATGGAGCACACGGACCCTATCAAACTAGAACTCTGACCCCGATCCCAGCACGTCTTCCAGAGGTGAGGTCGCTGTCTGCAGCATCCAGTCCAGGAAGCCAACCAACATCCCTGTAGCTCAAAGGAAGTAACAACAACTTCCCTGCCATGGATCGAGACATGGCAGCATCCCTGTAACAACCCCCCAAAGCAGGCAAATAGAACAACCTCACTGCCGTTGATTCCATACCAACGCACAGCAAACCTGTCAGACGGAGTAGAACTGTCCCTGTGGGTTTTGAGACCGTAGGTCTTCACAAGAGCAGAAAGCCCCATCTTCTCCCTCGGAGGGACTGGTGGTTTCTGAGGCTTGCAACCCAGCCCATAACTCATGATGTCACCACGGCTCCTGAGTCTGTAACTCAAAACCCACTGCCATCGAGTCAATTCCGACTCCTATTGGAGTCCCTCCAGGACAGGGTAGAACCGTCCCAGTGGGTTTTTGAGACCGTAACTCTTTATGGCAATAGAAATCCTGGCCCTTCTCCCACAGACCAGCTGATGGTTTCGATCTATTAACCTTCTGGTTAGCAGCCCGTGCACAACCACTGGGCCACGAGGGTCCCATGCCTAAAACAGCCAGGGCTCCCTTAATAACTGACAGCTTCCTTAATTTTAACTACCGCTTCCAACTTAGGACCGGCCAGAGAAAACCACATCTGCCTCCCTTGCCGATTACATAGGTAGCCCTGGTGGCACACTGGTAAAATGCTCAGTAGCTAACGATGAGTTGGGTGGTTGGCCAACCCACCAGCCACTCGATGGGAGACAGATGGGACAGTCTGTTTCCATCCAGATCAGAGACTCGGGCAGCTTAGAGGGCAGCTCTGCTGTGTCCTATCAGGTCGCCATGAGTCAGATCCAGCCCCAGGAATGGAGAGGGTGAGGAACTAATTACTAGGACACCCCACTTCTAGCCAGCACCCCCTCCCCACTTCAACTTCTCCAGACATGGAGAAAGCCTTCCCTTCTCTTGCTGTAACGCTTGTCCACTTCCCCTGCTTGCTTTTGAGTCTCTGCCAAACCCCAGTCAAACGACTGACCCCCTTGCTACCACAGGCTCTGGGTAAATAGCCTTTGTGGACCTTGTTTGGATGGGTTTGTTGGTCCATTTTCACACCACTGACAGCCGAGGCCTCGGACAGCCTGGGGTCTTGGATCACTAAGCCATGGAGCGTTCGGAAGGAAAGCATGGGGCAGAAGGCCAAGGCCTCCCTCTCCTCCCCCATGGGAGCACAGCTGCCCAGTGGGTAGGATTTCCCAGTGCGTGAACTAGAAAAGGCAGCTGCTGCCTCCCACCAAACGCAGGCTCAGGGGCACGAAGCTGCGTTCCAGGCTGCCCGTCGTCGTTCCACAGCAGGCTGGCCAGAAGCCCACTCATCCTGCCTCGAGGGGAGCTCTTCCCTGGAACATTCTAGCGGATAAACTCGTGCATCCTCTGTCTTCCCTCCCAGTAGAGCTCAGTGCTGATCTACAAACTTGCAACTGGCCTCTGTCTTCGGGGCAAAGGGCAGGTCCACAGGCTGACGTCCACAGGCTGACGACTCCCGTACACAGGGGGAGAGCAGAGAGGACTCATCTCCTGCTGTGAATCCCTGGCCCACCTGGTGAGCTCGGAGATGGGTGAAGACGTAGCGGCGTGGGAACAAATGTTCCAGGAATTGATGCAGGAGGTGAGGCCTTGGCACACGTGGACCCTGACCCTGGACAAGAGCCTCCTTCCCAACGTCCTGAAGTCGGGGTGGAAACAATACCAGCAGTGGACCTTCGCCAAGTGAGTGGGGAATTCGAGGAGGGAGCCCCCAGGAAATGCTTACTTCTTCCTTGCCCCCTGACTTGTGTAAGGAGCCCCCGCGGCCAGCGGTCAAGCGCTTGGCACAGTGTGTGGTTCGAACCCCGCAGCCACCCCATGGGAAAGAGAGATGGCTTCCACCCCCATAGATTGCTGACAGCCTCGGGAACCTTCCTGGGCAGTTCTGCCCCGTCCTGTCCTGTCGCTATGAGTCACAATGGCCTGGACAGGGGTGGGTTTGGGTGTGGATTTGGGGGTATTGTTTCCTGCGGTTGGGTGCTATCCACACGCCCGCTGGTCCGTTCTTTCCCCCGTGTCTCTAGTCCTATCCTCTTCCACTTTGATTCAGAGCTGTGGGATTATTGCTAGTTTTTCCTTCATTTCGTCAGAATGGTCTTGGCGAGCATCCCTGAGCCTTGGGATTGCGGCTTCTGGTCAACCCCCCACCCCACCCCCACCCCTCTATTTCAATCTATTGTTTCCCCCCTCCAGTTGCTTCAAGTAGTGAGACCATCCCTGTCATCTCCTTGGGGGGAGGATCTATGGTCCTTCCCCACCCCCCTCCTTCAGGAGCTCTTCGGGGTCCACATCTGGTTGCCGCGGTAATTGGGTTGTTTTCTCCTGGTTCTCCAGGCGGGCGGACAGAGATTGACCGCTGCTTCCAAGAGATAGTGTTATTGTTTGTTCATTTGGCTTTTTACATTTGTCTCTAAATACAAGGTAATCCCCCTCCACCCCTGTGGAACTCGGGTAGTCAAAGGTGGCCCTGAAATTTGGCACCTGTCCACCCTGAGCAGCAAGCAATGAAACACGGCCTCCCTCCAAGTCCTGGTTTTCAGGCTGGGTCCCAAGTGGCCAGGGGACGTCTGGCAATGATTGACCAAACCGGTGTGGGCGCAAGAGCCCGCTGGGGCCCGCTTGGCCCAGGGCCTCTCAGTCCAGAGCCTGTGAATCCTCCCAGCCAAGTTCTGACTCAACCTCTCCCCAGCACTGTTGGGGTAGCAGTGCTACTAAGTGGAAGGGGGTTGCTGTCAGCTCACCACTACGGTCCAGGAATCTCCGGTGTCAGGCCGGGTGTCACAGAAATCCCAGCTTCTGTTGGTCACTTCCTCCCCACAGGTGCTGTCGCACTGTGGGTGATTGGCTGTGGTTCTCAGGGGGAGGCTCTGGAAGCCAGGCTGCTGCAGATCTCCTGCAAAGATTTTTCTCAGGAGAGGGATCAAGGGCGGCTGGTGTTGGAATACAGAATGGAGTGCTGACCGGAAGGTGGGTGGTTTGAATCCACTCGAGGTGCCTCGTAGGAAAGACCAGGTGATCTGTAGCTGAACAAATCAGCCGGTGACAACTGACAACGCCAGGAGGACGGAGCTGCTGGGACACACGCCGGCCGGTCGCGCTGGTTCCCAGCCCTCTCTGTGGCGGCTGGTTTGGCTTTTGGAATTCTTGTTGCTATTCCGACAGCATTCCATTCTTGCAAATTGAAAAAACATGAAAAACGACAGGGAGTATAGGACGTCTCATTCAAGACGTTTAGCTTGGATAGAATCGTGTTTCTGGTGACATGGAACCCCCAAAGCCCTGGCAGCCTCTCAGGGCCTGGATCCAGAGAGACCGGGCTGGGAGGGCTGCGGAGGGGGCGGGAACAGCCTGGAAAAGAGAAGGGAAGCGCGGTGGATTCTCCATGAAGCATCTGGCGGTCCAGGCTTGGCACATAGCTCTCGGCTTTGGGGCACTCGCAGGCCCACCATGGAGCCCCCATGAGGGAAGATCCGCCCCCAGCCCACCCCGTACTACAGGGACAGCCCGGGGGAGCAGGGGATGCTGAGCCCCCAACAGCAGGCTTTCCCTGGGCTGCCCTGAGCACCAGAAGCTTTCTTTTAAAGGCGTGCTCTAAGTGGTCCTCCAGGGAGCCAGGTGGCACTGTGGGTTAGGTATTGGACTGCCAGCAGTCGAGTCAGTGGTTCAAACTCACCAGTTTCTCCTCAAGAGAAAGATGGGATGATTTGCTCCCATAAAGATGTCCAGCCTCAGAAATCCCATACAGGGTCACTATGAGGTGGGCTTCATTTGATGGCAGTGGGTTAAGTCATTTGAAATCTAATACTCTTGCACACAAAGGGTGGGGTGCTGGGACAGGCTCCCAGGACCCTGGGGCTCGTGTTCCTGGCTCCCCTGCCGCTCCCCTCTGGGAGCAGACCTGAGAGACAGAGCAGAGGTTTCCCCGGGCCGTGAGCTGGCGTCAGGAGCCTCGGAGCCAAGTCTGGGTCCATTTGATTTGAACTCTGCGCTGGCCCAGGAGCAGAGCAGCCTCCCCCTGGGCTGGGCAGGAGAACAAGCCTCAGACCCCTGGCCAGCGCTGCCTCTCTGAGCACCTCCAGCAAGGTCATACTCTGGGGGGATCACAGCTTGCCATCATCCCACGTGATCTTCACAATCCCCCCTGCGAGGTGGTGCTGGGATCCTGATACAGGGGTGAAGCAGCACAGACCAGCTCCCCCTGGCTTTCCATCCCAGCCTTCGGGGTACCCCTGTGTTAAGTCCGCAAGGCCAGGCTGGGCCAGGTGACGTAACAGACCCAGGAATAGCAGCCGCTCACCCACAGCTTTCAAGGACAATGAGGAGGAAGAGAGAGCCAGAAGGGTTCTTGCATGGGCTTCTAAGGTCAGACCAAGAAGTAGCATCTATTTCTTCTGCTCACATCCCAGGGGCCCACTGGTCACACAGCCCCAGTGGAACGGTAAGCAGCTGGGACGTGTGAGGGCCTGCAGAGAGAATGTGGTCTGCAGTCAATTCTGTCGTGATGCCAATGCCAACCTCACCCATCATTCCCACCCTGGATGCGGCCAGGAGCTTCCCTGCCACCTTCTCTGTCGTCGCCCACCTGTCCTTACAGACACCTGTGCAAACCTCTTAACTCAGAATACTGCTCTCCTCCCTGACTGAGTGGAGGTGGCCTTCTCTTCCTGTACCCTGTCTGAGACCGGGCCCGTGCACCATGAGAAGTTTCCCGGGCAACCTTAAGCAAAGGCATTGGGGGGGAGGGAAGCCGATGAAGAGCAAGCCTGACGCTGGGAACTCCCTGGGACCCTGGGAGGTCAGGGAGCCCTGGGAAGCCGAGGTAAGGTGCTGCTCTGTTCCTAGGACCCAGCCCTTTCAGGGTCCCCCCACCCCACCCCCCGATCAGTGAGTCTGGGACACCCACTGGCATCTACTGGTGGGTCTCAGTTCAAGGCTCCAGGGAGCGGCCGGTGTGGCTGGCGTTGCAATTGCCCAATCGGTGTGGTCCATGTGACGCCCCGTGGAAAGCGGCCTCCGTGTGAGGTTGGGAGACTGAGCTCTCACCCTGGCTCTGCCTCTTCAGCTCACTGGGTTTCTGACCGTGCTGGATTCTGTGCCCGCCTCACCTCTGCTCTGCCCGGGCGGGATTTCGGAGATGTTCCAAGCTGCCATCCGTCAGCTCCGACAGCTTGTGACTCACTCCTTTCACGGGAGACACCTGGGAGCCATCGACTAGAGACAGGAAGGACAGGCTGGGTGATTTCTCTCACCGTGAACCTAGGGCCCCAAATCAAGCTCTCTCTCCACGTTGTTCGAGCATCCCCTCCTGCAGGCCACAAACAGCTCCAACGTCTGGTCGGACGGAGGCCAGGTGATGACGGTCTTCTTTTCTGCCCCTGCAGGTTTCGATGCTCCTCTTGTTCTCGCGACTGGGCCTCTGCCCAAGTTCAGATCCTCTTCCACATGGTCTGGAGCAAGGAGTTGTCCAGGGGGCAGGTGAAGATGAGAGTGTTTGCCCAGAGGTGTCAGAAGTGCTCCCAACCTCCTTTTGAGGTTCCGGAGTTCACCCAGGAGAACATGTCACGGATCCTGAACAACCTGGTGCTCCGAATTCTGAAGACCTGCTACAAAGAGGGATTTAAATTGATGGAGGTGATCCCCGCGATCAAGGACATCTCTCTCAAAGGGCCACATGACAGCGATAACTGCGAGGCGTGTCTGCAGGGATGTTGTGCGCAGAGCAAGTTAGGGCCATGCCCGCAGACTCCCATGCCACCTCCACCTCCAGTCCCCTATAAGGACGCCAAGGAGCCCAGGGTTGCTGCTACAATGATCGACCTCACCTCCCTACTCCCTAAAACAGAGAAGATCCTTAGGCCAACCATTGGCCCCAAAGTTTCTGAGTATCCCAAAGCTTCCAGGGCTCCCGAGACTGGCAGCGTCTCAAGATCCTCCGCTGCATCAAGATTGCCAGCCCATCAGGTGTCGTGCCTGGGTTCACCTGTTCCCAAGATCACCACTCAACTGCCTTCCTCCACAGACAGAAGCACGCCAAGATTGCCAACCCACCAGGT